AGAGTAAAGGAGAGGTGGTTATGATGACATAGTCTAGCTGGTATCCATGAGGCAGTAATTTATAAGGATTGACAATACTAGCTCTTTCCAGAGTAGTTTAATATGTAAAGACAGTGATGGCTGTTGGAGCTGGTTGGGTTCTTGTTTTTTATTGCTATTTTTAGGGAAAATACTGAAAACATGTCAGGCTCTTGCCAGGTTTTATGATACAGCCAGAGCTTAACACTTGCTTATTTACATTTTCACTGAATGTAGCAATATGGAATAAGGGTTCACTTACCTTCAGCACATAAAGATGAAAGAGAGGGGGAATTATAAGCATGAATCACTTATTATTTAGCAGTCTCATTTGGGCCAGTTCTACCAGGCTTCCACCAACTTCATGGTATCATTTGAAAGCTTTGATCCAGGTTTTAGCTCAGCTCCACTGCATTAAACGAATCCTCTTATCTTCCCTTACTCCTTTTTCAGACCCTGCTTTCTCCTTTCTCTTTGAGCATTGTTGTAACTCTACCTCAGCTAAAGCTCTGTGTGCGTACATGGAAGTGCCTACTGTCAGTGATGTGCCCCCAAATCCCACCACTCCCCAGCAAGCACAGGCTCTGTGTAAAAATCTGCTAAAAATAAACTCAGTCTTTGCCCATTTCACCGGATGTCCTGACTGTAAACAAACAAGCAAATGAAAAGGTGAACAAACCTCCAGCTCCCTCCCATACCTTGAGCTGTGGCATGCCATGCAGCTCTAGTGCTGGCATTCAGTCTATCAAACAGTATATCCTCTATCACTGATCTTGGACCTATGGTCTGCTCTCAAACTTCTTTCCAAGATGCATCAGTCACCAGACAAAAGTTTTTTCTTTTATTTTCCTAATTAGCAGTCTCTGCTGTATTACAGATATTTCTGATCTGCTGGACACAGTCCTCCCTGGACATACCTTCTGTTTCATGGATGATGTGAAATAAGGAGATACCCAAAGCAATTGCCCAGTGGATGACAGCCACTGCCACCACTGTGGTAACACTTAGGAGAGTCAGGGCAGAAAGCAATGAGTGAAAGGAGGAAACACCACATTTATCCCAGTGGTGATTCTTACCCCAAGTCTGACAGCCAGAGCCCAGTTACCCTTGAGAATATTGCATCACTTCAGCCCCTCCATGTGGGTTCAGTCACTGAATGGAAAGAATCAATCTTCTGTCCAACAGTTTTCTAAGAAATTTCCTGTAGTCTCCATTGATTTTTTTTTTTATTGCGAGGGAGACATATATATAGCATTTCCTTTTGCCTTTCCTTTTACACAGAGAGGGCTTTAATTAGTGGCCTTTGTGTTAAACCGTTAGATATGACCACCTGTGGTATCTTGAAGTTATTCAGATTTTTAAGTGTTTTTAAATGTTGGATCTGAGAAGCTGAGAGATTTTCCAGCAGGGGAAAAATATTCAGTGGTCTGGAAGCTTTTCCATTACCTTACACCACAGGAGTGGCATAAAGGAGCTACAGAACTCTGAATCTTGAACTAATGTTTTTACTACAGGAAACAGTTTTTGGTTTTTAGGAAGTGGGTGGGCACATGTGGGCGACTTCAATTTGTTTTGCTGTTATTTATTTGTTCCTTTGTCTTAGACACCCAGTGACAAGACCTGAGTAAAAATGGTGACTATTTAGGTCTATTTTCTTTTATTTTATTTGATTAAGAAAAACTCTTGCCTGTGGCAGTCATATAATTTCTTTCCTCTCCTTCTGTTTGTACTACTACCTTGTCTTTGTCGGGACCTTCTGCATCCCATCCCATCCCATCCCATTCCACCCCATTCCATCCCATCCCATCCCATCCCATCCCATCCCATCCCATCCCATCCCATCCCATCCACTCTTCTCCCTGCAGCTCTTTCCACAGTATTAATTTCCGGTTCATAAAGGAATTCCTATTATCCACATATCCTCCATATACTAGGTGAATAACAAAGATGAGATTTATTCCTTAGTTGTTCTGCTGCTTATCGTGTTGTTTATAATGCTATTGCTATGCTCTTTTTTGTGATGTTTCTACTAGTCTGTCATTTACAAAGTCCTTTCATCAGTTAACGTTACAGATTTCTTTATAAACTCAAAATAGTTATATACATGGAGATCCATATGGACAAAAAAAGCAATGGGTGAATGGCAGAGAGGACATAAAAGTAGAGAAGCACTGTTCTGTAAATATACCTGAAAAAACAATCTGCAGAGAAAACTGTATCTACAGCTCTGGGACACTCAGAAGCCCATTAGGCTCCAATCCTGAACCCAGTGTTATACTTTGCAGAATCTTTTTTTTGCAAAATATTAAGTGTGCCAATAACTTGGCAATGGTCACAGCCCCAGGCAGTTCTGCATAACCCTGTGCTAAGAGCAGAAGAGAGAATTGTCCTCCAGAAGGAGGAAAAGTTTGGTTGGGCACTCTGAATGTTACAAATGGGTACTGAAGACTGACTTTTCTCCCAAGTGATGAATAGCAATTGTGATCCCAGGACAGTTTACAGCAGGGAACAGCAGGATATGATTCTGGATCCAATAAAACAATGAACTGGGACTAGTCCCCAGATACCAATCCTGGTTTTTCCCTATTTTACAGAAAAGTCATGAGCTTACCAAAAGCAACAGAAGTTTTGCCATTGGCATACACAGGGCTTTTGACCTATTGATTTTTTCAGAGCAATTTACCATGAGATTTCAGACTCTGAAATTGGAGTTTGGATGAGTAATGTAGCTTATACAGTAGACCCCTGCTCTCAGCACTCTCTGAGTCAAGCTTCCACTGCCAGTGCTGATGTGTGGAATTTCACAACTCCCTTCATGGACACTGTAATATCCTCCCAGTGATTGCTGTTCTCATGAGCAGCCTGATAGTTAATTAATTCTTAAGAATATGAACCTGCACAAAAGTAGCATGTTTGCAGAGCTGATGAAGTGAATCTAACACAAGCAAATATTATTTGTGTATTTTTGTCATGAATAGGCAGCTCTGTTAGTTACAGAGGGAGCTCAGCTTAATTCTGTGAATCTCAAAACCAAACAATATATCGG